AACAGACTCTAGCACATTATTTGAGTTAAAGCTGTGGTAAAGTTGTGTCATCCGCATAGATATGAAATTTTAAGTAGAAGCGGTCAAAGATCAACATTTGAGACGTAGGGGACCCAATGTATGTATGTATATGGCTGGATCCGACACATCATTATCAATAACTACATACTGACTTCTCCCGCACAGATAATTAAAAAAATAAAAATGAAGGCTGTATTATAGAACCCAATATAATGAAAAATTGCTAAGAGAAGTGATGATTAATAGTGTCAAACGCTTTAAAGAAGTTAAGTAAAACCAAAACAGCGCCATTGATGTTGCAGACACAACATCATCAACAATTATCGATAGTGCGGTTGCACAACTATACCCAGGCCTAAATCCTGATTGGATGGAGTGTAGAATATGAAAGTGTTCCAAGTACTCACGTATTTGTTCCGCCACGACCCTTTCTAAAATTCCCGACAAAGTACTCAAAATACTAATTGGCCTCACTTCCGAGAAGGAAGAAGCAGTTGATGATTTAGGCATAGGAACAACTTTGGCAGATTTCCATTTCTCAGGAAAGACACCAAACTCTAAACAAAAGTTAATTACATGCAGGAGGCAGGGAGTTATGTGTGGACAATAGAAACCCAGCATCCTAAGGCTTATATTATCAATCCCTGCCACCTGACTAGACATCCTCGTCAAGATAATATTGATCTGAGATTAATTTACTTTTTGCAAATAGAAATTTTCCACACCAGGTCTGACATTATTATTATTTTATAAACTCCGATTTCTGTATCACTTAGTGAACATTCACTTTCTATTTCTTCCATTATTAACACTTAAAGCAGTTATTGTTACTTAATATAGCTAACAACGTTTTCACCACGTTTTGACGGTAGGTTAAGTCGATAAGTGCTTGAACGCATATAAGATATAAGTAATTGTGATCTGCGATATAAGCCATCGTACCCTAGCAACAAAATATGATTCGACAATATGATTGGCTAATAATAATATCGCAGATTGCAATCGCAATCGTTTTTATGTATTCAAACCTGTCGTATAATTGTTAGCGGTCAAACTGTCAATTTGTTGCAGAAAGGGGCTACTTAACGATACTTACTACCTTTTTACAGAAAACGATAGGTCTACAACAAGATAGTATACAGCACTGGATTGAGAACATTTTGGCAAAAAAGTTTTAGTATAAAAGTTGTAGCAAATTTAATTGTTAACAATATTGTTCTTTTACACTTTTTCTCTCAGATGTAAAAATATCAACAAATATTCCAAAATGTGAAAATTGGATTAAATCGTGGTTTTACATCTTGTTATTGGTAGAGCATGGGATTCAGAACGTTTTAGATAATAATAATAAGCGTTTTATTGTTTTTAAATTTACAATTTTCCCTTTACACCATTTATACAGTACAACATAATATAATACAATATAATATACAGGGTGTCTCACGTAACTGGTTCGTTAAAACTTTTTTAGGTTTCACTAATTGTACAGTTTTGAAATTTTGGTAACATGGGTTGTTTATTCGGAACATTCGATCTAAAATATTATCAAGATGGCTGCCACTTCCGATCAACCGGAAGTAAACCATAACTTCGTTATTTTAAATGGAATGCTATAAGTAGTTTTTATTACACCTTTTAATTGTACGTAAAAGAAGATGTTGGCTTTTATAAAAGTTATTGGTACCTAGTGACTTTCGTTTTCGAGTTGTTTTGGTTTTAAGTTTTTTTTTGTCAAATTTCAACATGCTCTTTAAATAATAAGTAAATGCACAAAACGATGAAATGAATTTACTTGTTTTATTTATTTTCGGTGCGACATGTTTCGAAATCTACAGATTTCTTCTTTCTAAATTTATTAAACAAAACCTAAAATATCTGTCAACTTTTGATATAAACGCCTTCAATGCAATAGAAATGAATCCACTAATTCCCTAACTTAAATTTCTTATTAAATTGCATAAACCTGACCGTTCTATCAGACCAATCATAGGAAATATTAACACACCTTCTAGTAAAGCCGCTAAACTTCCCCAGAGATTTCTGTTCAATTTTTTTAAACACCAATTCAAACATAGTGTGAAGAATTCTAGAGAACTTCTAGATCAACTAAAACATGTGTCACTGGATAATGAATGTAGGCTCATTTCATTCGACATCTGCAACCTCTACACTAAGATTCCCATACATGATGCTATCAACATTATTAGAACATCTTTAACTGACCAACACAATGACTTATGTTTATGTGCCGAAGAAATTGAAGCCTTCATGGGGTTATTGGAAATTATTTGTAAACAAAACTTCTTCATATTTGATAATAAATTTTACAAGATGGGAGATGGTTTTCCCATGGGCTCACCCATCTCATCTATCATAGCCGACATTTTTGAAACTGAGCTTTTCTCCGATAGATATTCTCTATTTACTAAACATATCGTGTTTTATAAGCAAACGATTTCCTGCATTTCCTGCAAGTGTTAATAAATTTCCCAATATGAGGCAAACTACAATAAATAGGTATAGGAATGTTTATAAATAATTTGTAGAGAATTAAATTCCTTTTCTGATAGGCTAAAAAAATATAGGGCATTCCGTTTAAAATTTTCGACTTTCTCGCCATTGAATATGGAGAAACAGTAATTCAATTTTTGACCACAAATGACAATCTATTTGACAGCATCTGAAGAGTAATCGTGCCAATNTGTAGAGAATTAAATTCCTTTTCTGATAGGCTAAAAAAATATAGGGCATTCCGTTTAAAATTTTCGACTTTCTCGCCATTGAATATGGAGAAACAGTAATTCAATTTTTGACCACAAATGACAATCTATTTGACAGCATCTGAAGAGTAATCGTGCCAATGTAGATCTTTTTTGCATGAACGTTGGCTGCGATATAAGAGCATGTTGAAATTTACCAAACAAAGCTTAAAACCAAAATAATTCAAAAACGAAAAACGCTAGGTACCAATAACTTGTATCAAAGCTAACCTATTTTTTTACGTACAATTAAATGGTGTTATAAAAACTATAGCATTCATGGTCTACTTCCGGTAGATCGGAAGTCGCGGCCATCTTGAAAATATTTTAGATCGAAAGTTCCGAATGAACAACCCATGCTACCAAAATTTCAAATCTCTCTGATTAGTGGAACTTGAAAAAGTTCTAACGAACCAGTTACGTGAGACATCCTGTATATATCTCCAAACCCTCTACCCTCCTCCCCCCTCTCCGCACCTTCGGCTCCTCGCCCAAATCACCTCCCTCATCCATTTTTTGCCCTCGCCCTTTCTTTCAAAATCTCCCAAAGTCTCCCAATCCTATCCACACACCCTACACCACCTCTCCACATCGTCCGCCTAGTACCTATTCCCTCTCTCCTCATTGCCACAGCGGGATCTGGCCACCAATCTCTTCCCTTCATCACCCCCCTCCATCAACAGATACTTTGGCAGTTCCTTTGTCACTATCTCTCCATGCCTTTCATTATATCTCCCTTCTAATATCTGTGACCTTCTTTCTTGCCTCTGTATGTCCCTGTCCCTATCTCTCAGTTCTCTCCACATTTTACCTCTCTCCACTCTTCTGTTTTTGATCCCAGCTAATGAATATCCCACTCTCCTATAATATCCTTTCCTATCTCTTTGCCCATATATCAGCCTCCTCTCCTTAATTTCCCTCCAGCACTCTCGCATTTTGCAATGCGGTGTTCACCCAGAATGAATATACCCGGCAAAAGACTATACAGTATTGGCAGAGAACTAAATACTGCTAGTATCAGACTACATTCTGGAAATAGACTGTGTTTAGGAAAGGCAAAATTAAATATTAGTAATAGAGGAGTAAATACTACTAATGACTAGATTTTGCCGACAGAAGTCTATATATGTTAGCAGAGATACACTATATACAGCTAATGGACTTTCATTATATCTCCCTTCTCGTATCTGTGACCTTCTTTCTTGCCTCTGTATGTCCCTGTCCCTATCTCTTAGTTCTCTCCACATTTTACCTCTCNCCCTTCATCATCCCCCTCCATCAACAAATACTTTGGCAGTTCCTTTGTCATTATCTCTCCATGCCTTTCATTATATCTCCCTTCTCGTATCTGTGACCTTCTTTCTTGCCTCTGTATGTCCCTGTCCCTATCTCTTAGTTCTCTCCACATTTTACCTCTCTCCACTCTTCTGTTTTCGATCCCAGCTAATGAATATCCTACTCTCCTATAATATCCTTTCCTATCTCTTTGCCCATATATCAGCCTCCTCTCCTTAATTTCCCTCCAGCACTCTCCCAGGATCCTGCTATGCGGTCTTCCTTTTATCATTTCCTCATACTTTACTGCTTTTCTCCCAGCCTCCACTCTTACTGCATCTACCTTAACCTCCTCCTTCACTACATAGCTTGGAGTCTCCCTTGCCAACGCTACTATCCATGTCCAATACCTTATTTGTATATCCTGCAGCAGTTCTTGTTCTCTCCATCCCCATACATCTACGCCGTACATCATTGTGCTTCTTACCAAGCCCTCAAAGAAAACCTATCCCATTACTATGTTCGCTTTTTTTGCCATCGTCCTCACGTGCGACCCGATCTTATTACTTTCCAAGAACCTATATCCTAGGTACGTATACTCTTTCACTTCCTCTATCACTCTTCCCTGCCACCTCCATCCATTCCTCCTTCTTTCTTCTCCCCCCTTTGCAGAATTTCATGATCTTTGAAACTCATAGAACTCAGAAACCTCATCATTTCCTTCATAGAACGTTTTAGAAAAAAAGTATTAATACAAAATTTGTAGCAAATTATATTCTTAACAATATTGTTCTGTTATAGTTTTGCTCTCAGATGTATTAAATGGAACAACTTTGTGTTTTAAAGTACTACGATTTTCTGAATACCGTTTTATTTGATTTAACTTAACGAATCTATCGATTGATAGATGGCGTATTAAAAATGTAATTGTAATTTTTGTTTCAGATAAAAAAGGGCATCATGCGGCGAGAGACGTTCGCAAAGTCCTCGTGACATGATGAACTCGTCGACGCCGACGTTGAACGCCGCGAACGCAACCAGTTATTATTCGATCACCGAGGTCGTGTTCATAGGGACTTTGGCCTTCGTTTTATCGGTCTTCACCGTTGTCGGAAACATCATGGTGATGATCTCGTTCAAGATCGACAAACAGCTTCAAACGGTCAGCAATTACTTCCTGTTCTCGTTGGCGGTCGCTGATTTTGCGATCGGTTTGATCTCGATGCCGCTTTTCACCGTTTACACCCTCTTGGGATACTGGCCATTGGGACCGCTCATTTGCGACACGTGGCTTGCACTCGACTACCTCGCGAGCAACGCGTCCGTACTCAATTTGCTCATCATCAGTTTTGATCGGTACTTTTCGGTTACCAGGCCGTTAACTTACAGAGCGAAAAGAACTACGAAACGCGTTGCTATTATGATCGGGTAATAAATTTTAACACTTAGAAATTTTTTTAAATATTGTTGGGCTCTTTTTGCTTTCTTTTAGGTGTGCTTGGGGTATAAGTTTATTATTGTGGCCGCCGTGGATTTACAGTTGGCCGTACATCGAGGGAAATCGAACGGTTCCCGAAAATTTGTGTTACATTCAGTTTATAGAGACCAATCATTACATCACTTTCGGGACGGCGATTGCGGCATTTTACGTTCCCGTTACCGTTATGTGCATCCTATATTGGAGAATATGGAGAGAGACTGAAAAAAGACAAAAAGACTTACCCAATTTACAAGCGGGCAAAAAAGATAGCAGCAAAAGAAGTAATTCTAGGTAAGATTAAATCTAACTCTAACACATCAATAATTAATTTTGAAACCCAACTAAGTTTATTGCATGAAATTTGCTTTTATTTTGCACATTTCCAAATTAAACTCGATTTATAGGATTTCTTACGAAACTTAATAAAGAAATTGTTTCAAAAATAATTCGCTTTTGCTTAGGGATAGACTTAACTCATTGTATTCAAAAGCTCCATTTGTGCGATATAAATAAATTTCAGGCAATTAGAAACTCCACCGCAAAAGAGGGAGGGAAACGGATGGAGTCATAAAGAAATGGAAGTAATCGATACAATGTAAGTATCTCGTTTTTTATAATTCATTCCTTAATTAAAGAATAAATACAAAGGTTTAAAAAAATACGCATAAGATTAAATAAAAATAATTTAATTTCGTAAGAAGTCCTACGAGTATAATTTGACCCGAATTAAAATTAAAAGTGCAATTAAAATTTCAATTAAAACTTGAATAATTATTAATAACGGATTGATTTAAAGTTATGCTTTGTAAGTTTTCTTTTATGCTTTAAAATTGGGTGGAAAAGCCCGAAATTAGTGGAAATTAAATTGAATTTCGAGCGAATTCCAACTACTTCTAACTAATAATAAAGTAAGTGTAAAGCTGGAGTTGTCATTCCATTCTGTTCCACCAAAAACTAAAAGGTTTCTATTTTCCCTTCTGTCAGCCCAGGTTTTATTTCTATTTGACACAGTTGAGGGACATTTATTCCGATATGCATACTAAAGATAATCAGACAACACGAGTCTTGAATTTAAATTATTAGTAAGGCAAAATCCAAAAATTTGCATTTGTAAACCATGTCATCGGCCTAATAGCTGACTTCTAAGTCTATTGATTCACCCAGAATTAATATACCCGGCAGAAGACTATACAGTATTGGCAGAGAACTAAATACTGCTACTATCAGACTACATTCTGGAAATAGAAGACTGTGTTTAGGAAATGCAAAATTAAATATTAGTAATAGAAGACTAAATACCGGGTGTCCGCCGGGAAGGTATACTACTTTGTTTTGCCGCCATTTTGGTAAACATTAGTCTTGACAGTTCATATTTGGCGTGAAGTAGAGACGTGGCAAATTTATTATGGAAAATATTCGGTAAACGACCACAACGTACTGCAAGATCGGCTGAAAACATTGCTGCTGCTCAAGAAAGTGTTCAAAACAATCCATCAACCTCAATTCGACGGCGTGCTTAGGAGCTTGGTCTTCAAAGAATAACTTTGGCCACAATTTTGCACAAGGATTTGCATTTGTTTCCATTTAAGATTCAGTTGACACAAGAGCTTCTTCCAGGATACCATTTACGCCGCCGTACATATGCCAATAGGATGTTACAACTCGCCCATGACAACCCCGATTTTCATGAAAAAATCATAATGAGTGACGAGGCACATTTTCATTTGAATGGATATGTGAATAAACAGAATAGTCGGTTCTGGGCAATGGAAAACCCTCAAATTATTCATCAGTCACCTTTGCATCCATTAAAAGTGACAGTCTAGTGTGCAATTTGGTTAGGAGGAATCATTGGACCTTACTTCTTTGAAACTGAAAACGGTGTAACGGTAACTGTCAATAGGGAGCGATATCGTGATATGATTGAAAACTTTTTAACGCCACAACTGCATGCTTTGGGCTTGATTAACATGTGGTATCAACAAGGCGGTGCCACATCGCATACAGCCAGGATTACAATGGAATTACTGCGAGACCTCTTTCCACAACAAGTTATTTCAAGAAATGTTGATGTTGATTGGCCTCCACGGTCGCCTGATTTGACTGCATCAAATCTCCTCGCATTTGTGAGGCTAACAGAGGTGGACATTTATCTGATATTGTATTCCATACATAATTGCCGACATTAAATAAAACATTTATCAACATAAGATCCATTCTCTTTCATTTAATCAAAAATTATAAACAAACAAAGTAGTATACCTTCCCGGCGGGCATCCTGTATTACTAATGGCTAGATTTTGCCGACAGAAGTCTATATGTGTTAGCAGAGATACACTAAATACAGCTAATGGACTGCTACATTCTAGTAATAGATGACTAGATACTGCCGGACTATAAGGCATGAAGATAGGCACAAATAACTAATGAAGAGTTATTACGTAGAACAGGAATAAAGAAGGTGAGAACAAGAATGAAAAAACGAAAATGGCAATGGATCAGGCATATCCTATGAAAGGCAGAAAATAATATAATAAGGCAATCTCTTAAATATTCTATAAAAGGGAAGAGGAAGACTGGAAAATCAAGGGATACATGGAGAAAAAAACTCAAGTACAGACGTAATTGCATACACTATAATATGGAATCAAGCTATAGAAGAAAAGGGAAAGGAGTGGTCGCAAAAATGACAGAAGGATGGAGCTTACTGGATGGAAATTAAACTAATAAACATAAACACAGACACTTAGAGTTGGCTGCACCAAAAAACAAGCAAAGAAACATTGATCAGCGCCTGTTGCTCGTTGTAGGAGCTACGAGACTAAGAAGAAGAGCAAGAAAGATACTGCCGGAAAAAGATCATATATAACTGTTAGAAGAGGACTAGATACTGCTAATGGAAAACAACATTCCGATAATAAAACACTAGATATTACTGGCGGGTGCTGTAAATACAAGATTAGATGCTTGTAATAGAAGACGTCTCATACACTAGAAAGTTTTCCTTAATGTTATGCAAGTCGTTATTCATCATTTTCTTTGAGCCTCCAATACTCCCAAGATACTATAATAGAAAACTATATTGGTAGACCAGATACTGCCGACCAAATATTACATACTCTTGGCAGAGCACTAGGTACTGCTAATGGACGACGAATTCCGATAACAAAATACTAGATACTGTGTGTAGAATACTAGATATTGCTCGCAGAAGGTTACTTGCAGTAAATACACGATTAAATACTGGTAATAGAAGACTAAATACTACTATTGGAAGACTAGATACTCCAGGTAAAAAACTATACTTATACTGTTGGCGGAACATTAGAACAGAAGATTAAGTTCTGTTTACTACTAGAAGACGTATTCAAAAAATCGATAGATGATCCAAAAAAACTGAAAATTATAATATATGAACCAGAGTTGGGTAGTATCCGCATACTTTTTGAGTATTGTCAATTCATTTTCTAAATTTAGAAAAAATTCAAAGAACTCATTCCCTAGCAAATGTACACTAAATTTCCCCACCGAGAGACCACTCGGAAAAATATAGGAGAAAAGATTAGGAGTCACTATAAATAAAATATGGATGACAGTATATTAGTTTAACAATAATTTAGGTCATTTCAAAAGTATCCGAGAATGTATCCGAAAACTGCAGTATACATGTAACCGAATACTTGTATCCGGATACTTTTATGGAGAAAGTATTCGTACTTTTTTAAAAAAGTATCCGGATACATTGTAAGTATCCGGTATCCGGTACTCGAATTTTTTTCCTGTATCCGTCCCAGCTCTGAAATGAACTACAAAAAGATCAGAAGAAATAGGGGTAACAATGAATGTGAGTTCATAATCTTAGTTTTGATTATGAAAAGAATAACAGAACTTAACAATCAACCTGCCAGCTTAAACGAAACCGCTATAAAAGATGTAGAAGACTATATATATCTAGAACAAAAAATAACAGTAGATAAGCAATTACAAACAGCGGATTTGAACCGGAAATAAGACTGGCATGAACAGCGTTCGGTAGGCTAAGACATATACGTATTACAGAGCAAGAACAAGAAATTTAAGGTACTAAAACTGTGTGTAATCCTGATCTCGATATATAGTGCTGAAACATGGACACTCATCAAGAAATCTAAGAGCGAGATACAAGCTATCCAACGCCATATGGAACGAAACATATTAAACATACGAATAAGTGATAAGATATCTATAGAATGGATAAAACAACGCACCAACAAGGAAGACATAATTGATATAATATTGAAAGTGAAATGGCGTTAGGCGGGTTTAAAAATTTTGCGCACGATGATATTTCGAAATACCTAGGAAAAACATGGATGACAGCAGCGGAAAAGTGAAAAATGTGGAAAAACATGGAAAAATACGGAGGAGGCATATATAGAGGACTACATTCCGGTAATAGAAAACGAGATACTGTTTATTGAAGACTACATACTGCTTACAGAAGATTAGGTGCTGCAAATACAAGCTTAGATACTGGTAATAGAAGACTTCTTCCTCCTCCTCCTGATATATTAGGCAGTTTTGTTCGTTTTCTTTAATATAATTCCTCTGCTAGTCATCATTCTATCTTTTCTTTGGGCGTCTAATACATACTTCTTCTTCAAACCCGTGATTTATCTCGGACAATCTTTAGTATTCGTTGTCCAGATATTCTATTTATATGCTCGTATCGCTCCCGTTTTCTATCTGTTATCCACACGTTAATATAATGTAGCTCACATATGTGTCTTATATTTTTGTTCCTCAATCCCAAAACGTTCTTCCTGCTATAGTTCTGTGTGGTGGCGCCGTTAGTCATAACATAACTGATCGGATTACATTTGTATATACTGGTTCTATAATTTGATTGTCGATTTCCAATTTGCACCTAATTCGTTCGATATCAATTACTACTGGTTTGGTTTTTTCAACCGATATCTTCATTTTAAAATGTCTTCCCGCTTACATTAAACTGATGCAATAATCTTGCATTCCTCAATCTTTTTAGTTGTTCTTCTAAGAATTATTAGTGCCTCTTCTTCTTTTCCTTTGATATTCCTATTCACTCCACTATATATCAAAAAGTATTCGTCTAGCCACTTCTTCTTCGTTTTTTGCACGTATTTCTATCGTTTTATATTTCAACACTTTTTCGATTTCCTAATAGTAGCTATTATAGAAGTTTAGTGGTCTTATTGCATTTGCATGATATTTTTTTACGTCATTATCAGTTCTGTTCCAAAGTATTACATTCTTCTGAGTTCTGTGAGAAATATCAGTAACAGCATAGTGAAACTACTCAATCCACCTTTCGATGCTGCAGACGGAGTTTAATAGACTAGTAATTGACGATCTACGACTATCTCGAAATACTGTGATGAGGTGGATTGAGAAAATGAGTGGAAATATAAAAGAACAGTTAAATAACGACATTAGTAGATGTTCTTATTTTTCCCTACAGTGCGATGAATCGACTGATATAAGTGACACAGCACAACTACTTGTTTTCATTCGATTAGTATTTGAAGACTTTACTGTAAAGAAGAAATGTTGGGTATGATTTCTTTAAAAGAGAGAACTAGAGGTTTAGATATATTCAATGCTTTTAAAAAAATTCTCATTGATTTGAAAGTATCAGTTTTTAAATTAGTTTCTATAACAACAGATGGAGCAGCTGCAATGGTAGGCTGCATAAAAGGGTTTATAGCCCTTTGTAAAAGTGATGACGAATTTCCAAGTTTTCTGAGTTACCATTACATAATTCATCAACAAGTGTTAGCCAGCAAAAGATTAAACACCAAAGTAGTTGATTTAAGAGTAGTTGAATTAAGTAATTTAAATTTAGAATTACAAGGGAAAAACAAAACATTATTTGAAATTATAAGCAGCATTGATGTGTACAAAACTAAATTTACTATGCTAATAAAAGATCTTCAACAAAATAATTTCATCAATAACATACAATTTTTAGGTTTTATTAAAAAAAGTTTTTTTCCTCAATTTTACCAATCAACTCATAAACCTTTATATGGTATTAAAGAGAATACTTTAAGCTTTAATTTAACATAAAAGTTGTTTGTTAATTCTTATGAATAAGGTAGATATCGTCGATTAAAGTTTTGGTTTTTTAAAAATGTCTTCTGTAATACCTTCATATTAGGTTTAGTTAAAATTGAATTTTTCTCACTACCTTTTTAGACCAACTAATGAAGCATTATACGGGCTTACAGCTGATTGTTTAAACTTTACATTGACATAAAAATCATTTGTTAATTCCCATAAATAAAGGAGATACAATTTTTTTAAATTAATTATTTTTAGAAATGTCATCAATAACATACAATTTTTAGGTTTTATTAAAAAAAGTTTTTTTCCTCAATTTTACTTAATCAACTCATAAACCTTTATATGGTCTTAAAGAGAATACTTTAAGCTTTAATTTAACATAAAAGTTGTTTGTTAATTCCTATGAATAAGGTAGATGTGGTCGATTAAAGTTTTCGTTTTTAAAAAATGTTTTCTGTAATACCTTCATATTAGGTTTAGTTAAAATTCAATTTTTCTCACTGCCTTTTTAGACCAACTAATGAAGCATTATATGGGCTTAAAGCAGATTGTTTAAGCTTTATTCTGACATAAAAATAATTTGTTAATTCCCATAAATAAAGGAGATACAATTCTTTTAAATTTAATATTTTTAGAGATGTCATCAATAACAACCAATTTTAAGGTTTTATTAAAAATAGTTTTTTTCCTCAACTTTACTAATCAACTCATAAACCTTTATATGGTCTTAAAGAGAATACTTTAAGCTGTAATTTAACATAAAAGTTGTTTGTTAATTCCTACGAATAAGGTAGATGTGGTCGATTAAAGTTTTGGTTTTTTAAAAATGTCTTCTGTAACACCTTCATATTAGGTTTAGTTAAATTCAATTTTTCTCACTGCATTTTTGGACCAACTAATGAAGCATTATATGGGCTTAAGGTAGATTGTTTAAGGTTTATTTTGATATAAAAATAATTTGTTAATTCCTATAAATAAAGTAGATACGATCTTTCTAAATTTAATATTTTTAGTGATGGCATCAATAACAACCAATTTTAAGGTTTTATTAAAAAAAGTATTTTTCCTCAATTTTACTAATCAACTCATAAACCTTTATATGGTCTTAAAGAGAATACTTTAAGCTTTAATTTAACATAAAAGTTGTTTGTTAATTCCTATGAATAAGGTAGATGTGGTCAATTAAAGTTTTGGTTTTTTAAAAATGTCTTCTGTAATACCTTCATATTAGGTTTAGCTAAAATTCAATTTTTCTCACTGCATTTTTGGACCAACTAATGAAGCATTATATGGGCTTAAAGTAGATTGTTTAAGGTTTATTTTGATATAAAAGTAATTTGTTAATTCCCATAAATAAAGGAGATACAATTTTTTTAAATTTAATGTTTTTAGAGATGTCATCAATAACAACAAAATTTTAGGTTTTATTAAAAAAACTTTTTCTCCACAATTTTATTAATCAACTCATAAACCTTTATATGGTCTTAAAGAGAATACTTTAAGCTTTAATTTAACATAAAAGTCGATTGTTAATTCCTATAAATAAGGTAGATATGGTCGATTAAAGTTTTGGTTTTTGAAAAATGTTTTCTGTAATATCCTCATATTAGGTTTAGTTAAAATTGAATTTTCCTCACTCGCTTTTGAACTAACTAATGAAGCATTATATGGGCTTAAAGCAGATTGTTTAAGCTTTATTTTAACATAAAAATCATTTGTTAATTCCCATAAATAAAGGAGATACAATTTTTTTAAATTTAATATTTTTAGAGATGTCATCAATAACAACAAAATTTTAGGTTTTATTAAAAAAACTTTATCTCATAATTTTACTAATCAACTCATAAACCTTTATATGGTCTTAAAGAGAATACTTTAAGCTGTAATTTAACATAAAAGTCGTTTGTTAATTCCTATAAATAAGGTAGATGTGGTCGATTAAAGTTTTGGTTTTTTAAAAATGTTTTCTGTAATACCCTCATATTAGGTTTAGTTAAAATTCAATTTTTCTCACTGCCTTTTTAGACCAACTAATGAAGCATTATATGGGCTTAAAGCAGATTGTTTAAGGTTTATTCTGACATAAAAAGAATTTGTTAATTCCCATAAATAAAGGAAATACAATTTTTTTAAATTTAATGTTTTTAGAAATGTCATCAATAACAACCAAATTTAAGGATTTATTAAAAAAAGCTTTTTCTCCATAATTTTATCAATCAACTCATAAACCTTTATCTAGTCTGAAAAGAATACTTTAAGCTGTAATTTAACATAAAAGTCGTTTGTTAATTCCTATAAGTAAGGTAGATATGGTCGATTAAAGTTTTGGTTTTATAAAAATTTTTTCTGTAATACCCTCATATTCGGTTTAGTAAAATTGAAATTTTCTCACTGCCTCTTTGAACCAACTAATGAAGAATTATATGGGTTTAAAGCAGATTGTTTAAGCTTTATTTTGACATAAAAATCATTTGTTAATTCCCATAAATAAAGGAGATACAATTTTTTTAAATTTAATATTTTTAGAGATGTCATCAATAACAACAAAATTTTAGGTTTTATTAAAAAAACTTTATCTCAATAATTTTATTAATCAACTCATAAACCTTTATACGGTCTAAAAGAGAATACTTTAAGCTGTAATTTAACATAAAAGTTGTTTGTTAATTCCTATGAATAAGGTAGATTTGGTCGATTAAAGTTTTGGTTTTTTAAAAATGTTTTCTGTAATACCTTCATATTAGGTTTAGTTAAAATTCAATTTTTCTCACTGCATATTTGGACTAACTAATGAAGCATTATATCGGCTTAAAGCAGATTGTTTAAGCTTTATTTTGACATAAAAATCATTTGTTAATTCCCATAAATAAAGTAGATACGACCTTTTTAAATTTAATATTTTTTATTCAAAAAGGTTTTTCTCCACAATTTTATTAATCAACTCATAAACCTTTATATGGTTGTAAAGAGGATTATTTAAGCTGTAATTTAACATAAAAGTCGTTTGTTAATTCCTATAAATAAAGTTTATGTGGTTTATTAAAGTTTAGGTTTTTAAAAAATGTTTCTGTTATACCTTTGTATTAGGTTTAGTTAAAATTCAATTTTTCTCACTGCCTTTTTGGACCAACTAATGAAGCATTACATGGGCTTAAAGCAGATTGTTTAAGGTTTATTTTGACATAAAAATAATTTGTTAATTCCCATAAATAAAGGAGATACAGTTCTTTTAAATTAAATATTTTTAGAGATGTCATCAATAACATCCAACTTTAAGGTTTTATTAAAAAAAGCCTTTCTCCTCAACTTTACTAATCAACTCATAAACCTTTATATGATCTTAAAGAGAATACTTTTAGCTTTAATTTAACATAAAAGTCGTTTGTTAATTCCCATAAATAAAGTAGATACGACCTTTTTAAATTTAATACATTTTATTCAAAAAGGTTTTTCTCCACAATTTTATTAATCAACTCATAAACCTTTATATGGTTGTAAAGAGGATTATTTAAGCTGTAATTTAACATAAAAGTCGTTTGTTAATTCCTATAAATAAAGTTTATGTGGTTTATTAAAGTTTTGGTATCTTTCCTTGTTGAATATTCAATTTTTTCTTACTCTACTTTTAATATAGCAATAACATCGGTGATAATACGGTTGGGGAACAATATTAACATGAAAATCCGGACGGTAACCTTCCAGATTTTAATCTAGATACGGACCGACGTGTCCAGGAACGGTCGAACTTTCACTAATTACGGCCCTGACTCCGACGCGAGCTTAAAATGGGTAGCAAAAGCGCCCCACCAATTCCGAATTAAACTTTACAGGTCGAGATTTAATTTGCAATTTCCGTAACTTTTCCAATTCCATCCTCGAAAACAACAGGCTTAAAAAAATATGTTCCATTGTTATTATAGAAAAGGAATATTTTTGAAATTTTCGTTTTAAATACTTTTCTTTCATTAATTTGTTATTAATAATCTTTTGTGTTGTGTTAATTTGGGTTTTTGCACTAAATTGAAATAGATCCGTTTGGTGTTGTGTTATTAATCGAAACAAAATTATTTTTTTTGAAAAATTAATCGATCTACAGCTTTTATATCTGCAGTGACGAGGCTAATACAGCCTGTTCGACGGTGGATTTGGAGGAATGGCGAAGACCCCGATCCGAATCATCAACTGGAGCTGATACGGATTCAGTTTATATGCACGGGGCTGTTTGTGCGGATCATCATAGTCATAGAAGACGACCGGTAAGCTTGAATTAAAATTAATATCTACTAGAATAAGTTATGGATAAGTTTATTAATTTAACCATAATGCTTGAATGGCGTGAGATGAGATAACATGTAATGGACACAACGCAACTATCATGGGAAATAATCCTTGTAATTCTAATTAATAATTAAATCTTAATTAGGTTTAAAGATTAGTTTGAATGATTCAAAAAATCAAAGCAACCAAATTTATAGAAATTAATAAATAATTTCTTGTAGGCTAAAACTAGATTAAATTTTCTTTAAAATGCTTCAAATATCATTATGATACTCCGACTAGTTTTTGAGATATGACATCTTAATTCTCATTAATGTAACAACGATATTTATCAAGTGTGTATCGTTGAATTCAAATAATCGTAAATAAGGGATTTGTGGATATTAAGAAATTATTTATGGCACACTAAAACTATATTAATTTCGGATTAAGATGCTTTGTATCTCGTTGAGATAACCCGACTGGTTTTTGAGATACGATTTATTAAGTTTCGTAACTAACCAAAACGAACAGATTTTGATTTAAAAATCATATCAATCAAATTTATTGAAACCAATAAATTATTTATTGCACGCTAAAACTGGATTAAATTTGCTTTAAAATGCTTCTTATGTCATTATGATATCCCAATTCGTTTTTGAGATATGACATCTTAATTCTCATTAATGTAACAACGATATTTATGAAGCGTGTATCGTTTATTTCAATTAATCGTAAGTAAAGGATTTCTGGATATTAAGAAATTATTTATGGCATACTAAAACTACATTAATTTCGGATTAAGATGCTTTGTATCTCGTTAAGATAACCCGACTGGTTTTTGAGATACGATTTGTTATGTTTCATAACTAACCAAACGAACAAATTTTCATTTAAAAATCATATCATCCAAATCTATTGAAACCAATAAATTATTTATTGCACGCTAAAACTAGATTAAATTTGCTTTAAAATGCTTCTTATATCATTATGATATCCCAACTAGTTTTTGAGATATGACATCTTAATTCTCATTAATATAACAACGATATTGATCAAGCGTGTATCGTTGAACTCAAATAATCGTAAGTAAGGGATTTCTGGATATTAAGAAATTATTANATTTTCCCACATTATTAAAGTTAGCATAGGGGAAATTAAAAATTACCACAAAAATGTGGTTGAGTTAAAAAGTTTATATCTCAAGAACTAAAAGTGATTTTCCAAAACGAAGTTTTGCATTGTAAAGTAGATACTTTAATGTATAATTGGTGATAATTTTGGAATGATTTTCCGAGAAATCGATTTTTCCCACATTATTAATGTTAGTATAAAGAAATTTAAAAATTATCAGAAATTGTGCTAGAATTAACAAGTTTATATCTCAAGAACTAAAAGTGATTTTCCAAAACGGAGTGTTTCATTGAAAAGTAGATGCTTTAATTTATAATTGGTGAAAAATTTGGAATCATTTTCCAAGAAATCGATTTTTCCCACATTATTAAAGTAAGTATAAAGAAATTTAAAAATTACAAGAAATTGTGGTTGAGTTAAAAAGTTTATATCTCAAGAACTAAAAGTGATTTTCCAAAACGGAGTTTTGCATTGTAAAGTAGATACTTTAATTTATAATTGGTGAAAATTTTGGAATGATTTTCCGAGAAATCGATTTTTCCCACATTATTAAAGTTAGTATAGAGAAATTTAAAAACTACAAGAAATTGTTGTAGAGTTAACAAGTTTATATCTCAAGAACTAAAAGTGATTTTCCAAAACGGAGTGTTTCATTGTAAAGTAGATGCTTTAATTTGTAATTGGTGAAAAATTTGGAATGATTTTCCAAGAAATCGATTTTTCCCACATTATTAAAGTTACCATAGGGAAAATTAAAAATTACCACAAAAATGTGGTTGAGTTAAAAAGATTATATCTCAAGAACTAAAAGTGATTTTCCAAAACGGAGTTTTACATTGTAAAGTAGATACTTTAATTTATAATTGGTGAAAAATTTGGAATGATTTTCCAATAAATCGATTTTTCTCACATTATTAAAGTTAGTATAGAGAAATTTAAAAATTACCAGAAATTGTTGTAGAGTTAAAAAATTTATATCTCAAGAACTAAAAGTGATTTTCCAAAACGGAGTTTTACATTGTAAAGTAGATACTTTAATTTATAATTGGTGAAAAATTTGGAATGATTTTCCAATAAATCGATTTTTCTCACATTATTAAAGTTAGTATAGAGAAATTTAAAAATTACCAGAAATTGTTGTAGAGTTAAAAAATTTATATCTCAAGAACTAAAAGTGATTTTCCAAAACGTAGTGTTTCATTGTAAAGTAGATGCTTTAATTTGTAATTGGTGAAAAATTTGGAATGATTTTCCGAGAAATCGATTTTTCCCACATTATTAAAGTTAGTATAGAGAAATTTGAAAAGTACAAGAAATTGTGGTTGAGTTAAAAAGTTTATATCTCAAGAACTAAAAGTGATTTTCCAAAACGGAGTTTTGCATTGTAAAGTAGATACTTTAATTTGTAATTGGTGACAAATTTGGAATCATTTTCCAAGAAATCGATTTTTCCCACATTATTAAAGTTAGCATAGGGAAAATTAAAAATTACCACAAAAATGTGGTTGAGTTAAAAAGTTTATATCTCAAGAACTAAAAGTGATTTTCCAAGACGGAGTTTTTCATTGTAAACTAGATACTTTAATTTGTAATTGGTGAAAAATTTGGAATCATTTTCCAAGAAATCGATTTTTCCCACATTATTAAAGTTTAGTATAGAGAAATTTAAAAATTACCAGAAATTGTACAGGTGTCTCCGAAATGCGTGTACAACGGAAGACCACACCTTGGCTCAAAATAGGTCGATTTAAGTTAAGTTATCTATATCCAAAAGTTGCTTCGTTTTGCCGCTAGAAGACTTCAAAGTTAGCAAAAAAAATTTCTTTTATTTTTTACAACTCGAAAACGCGTAAATCAATTGAAACCATTATTCAGAAGTGAGTTCCTAGGTTCAATTAACGTCTTTTAATGATTTTTGATACAATTTTAGAAACACGGGAATGATGGAAAAGCCAAGTGTTCACCGGATATTACTCCATTTTTTTTTCTGGCCAGGCGACAATTACATTATTATAATTTCTGAATAGCCTATTCAGTTCTAAACTGTTTTTGTCAAGTCTTGAGTAGGGAAAAGTTTGTCGAGTCGGTTGGCACTCGACGATTAAGAAACTCCAAACCGAAATACATAGACCGTGGATGTCAACGTACAAGGCAAACTGTAGAGTTAGAAGAAAGGGTTCTTGAAAGAGTGGCAGAAGACCCTAAAATTAGTAAAACACATCTAGAACAATTTGAATCGGCAAAGTTTGAGTTATTTTAGATTGTTCTATGTTTTTTAATTTTTATTGTGTAATATAAAACCGCTGATACAAGAATTACTGACTGAAACTTCCAAAAACTTTAATTTTGGAAGAGTAAAGTGCCCTTTGGAGAGTTGTTCTAATGAAAATAATAGCTGTTTCAGATTGCGTTAGCTATAATATGTATACGGGTGTCTGCGAAATACGTATACAACAGAAGACCACAGATTCCTAGGCTCAAAATAGGTCGATTTAAGTTATCTATATCCAAAGTTGCTTCGTTTTGCCGCTAGAGGACTTCAAAGTTAGCAAAAAAATTTCTTTTATTTTTTATAACTCGAAAACGCGTAAATCAATTGAAATCACTATTCAGAAGTGAGTTCCTAGGTTCAATTAACGTCTTTTTATGGTTTTTGATACAATTTTAGAAACACAGGAATGATGGAAAAGTCAAGTGTTCACCAGATATTACTCCATTTTTTCTTTTCTGGCCAGGCGACAATTACATTATTATAATTTCTGAATAGCCTATTCAGTTCTAAACAGTTTTTGTCTCTTATAAGATTTTGATTACATAAGTGGTTAAGCCAGAAAAAACGTATTTTTAAACATCTGCAAGTCTTGTTTACGTCATTGCAGTTACAAAAGTTACCTCATCGTAATTGGCACTGATTTCAACTAATTGCAATTTATGTTTAACGTGAATACAATATCATTAATTGATCAAAAGCGTGGGCATTCAATGATCCTCAAAGCATACAGTGTTAGGAAAAAAAGTAGTCGTATTTAGTTGATTCAGTACGACAAAGAGAAACTTTTAATCAATTCTTTAATTAATTCAATAAATGGTAAAACATAACTCTAGTATGCTTTGCATTTAACTGTCAGTTAACATCAATAAATTGGTTTAACGTTATTTTTATAATGGATACTTACACATGTGATGAGCAAGTAGATATGATTTTAGTTTATGGCCAATGTCAATTTAATGGTCGCAAAAGCGTTCAAGTCTTGAGTCGGGAAAAGTTTCTCGAGTCGGTTGACACTCGACGATTAGGAAACTCCGAACCGAAATACATAGACCGTGGATGTCAACGTACAAGGCAAACTGTAGAGTTAGAAGAAAGGGTTCTTGAAAGAGTGGCAGAAGACCCTAAAATTAGTACGAGGCTCTTAGGAAATCAATTAGAAGTCTCTGAAGATGTTGTCCATAGGGTAATAAAAAAACAATTATTACACCCATACCACCTTCAAAAAGTGCAAGAGCTTTTATCTGTGGGTCACGAAATGCGTTTGACTTTCTGCCAACTCATCCAAAAAGAATCCACGACTCACATTTTAGTAGAAGGATTTTATTGACAGATGAGGCAACGTTTACTAGATCTGGTGTCACTAACATGCGTAACGATTATGTTTATGCTGAAGAAAATCCGCATATGACCACAGCAGTCCATCATCAGCATCAATTCAAAGTCAATGTTTTGCTGGAATTATTGGCGATAACATTATTGGACCGGTAATAATACCAAATCGATAGATTGGAATGGAAGCTGATGCCCCAATAAAATGGCCAGCAAGATCACCAGACCTTTCACCGTGTGATTATTATTACTGCGGGGCATTGA